TTTTTTTTTTGCAAAATTGCCCCTCTGCCAGTGTGCCAATACTCGTGTGTATCATCCATATACCAAAGCGACATGTACATAAGGAGTACCTCATGCTAAAACACAAAATGGACATCAATTAAAAGAAGTGTAATTGGAGCAATAAATCTGTGCAAACGCCGCCCGTCCTGCGTTAGCCATGTCTGAAGAGAGGGCAGAACATTGGTCAAAAAATACAGTTTTGCTGAGGTGCTAATAGGATATAACACCTGTGGAAAGATCTTTTGGGTTCTTTTTTTTTTTTTTTTTACCGCCACGCAGGTCTCCCCATTTTGCATTCCCCAACATGAGGCATTAGCCGTGGTGGTTGCCCCCTTCACAATTTTTGCTCCTTCGGATGTTTTACGCTCATCACGCGTTGTTCTTTAACGGTCGTATTTTCCGCATTCGTTTTGCCTTTTCCTTTGCACGCCCCTCTTGTCTCTACGTGAGGGAAACGCTAAAACGTTGGGCGTGCGAAATGCCAGACGGGTTACTCCACTACGCTGGAAATATAGAATCTATTTGGAACCACTGTTATCAAAAAAGGGTACCTATAACAATGATAAATTGGGCAATGTGGGGGAGATAATTTGAGGTGTTCAGGGGAGGAGGGATGATTAACCTTATCGTAATTATTTCACATTAGTTGGTGGATAAGGTGGTTAATAAAGGAGGTTCATAGCAGGGCTCTAAAGTTGTGGTTTCTCATTTTTCTATTCGCTCCCCGTTAAAAATGAGCTACCGCTGCATTATGCGAAGCGGTAATATGCTGGGTATATCGGAACTTTGTTTAGCAAAGAACCTCACGGGAGAAGAATCATTTATGATTAAGAATAGGGTTAAAGGAACCAGTGGAAAGTTCAGTGTGAACCTCGGAGCATTGTGCCATTTCACTACATTGGGTTATTCTACTTACCGCGCTTTTCAATCTAAACATTTTTTTTCGTCATGTGAAAAATGTAGCCATTAAAAAGGGGAGCAATTTATTTACATTTTGTAGAGAAAGAATATATGAACTGTTGATAATTTTTTTTTCCACATTTTTTTAAAAAAAATTTTCAGTCAACTTACTCGAGTCATTAAGGAGGAGGGGTGTCAAACAAGTTGGTTAATTTTTTCGACAAAATGGGAATAATTGCTTCGTAAAGAAGAACAACAACAAAAAAAATAGTTACTTTTCTCCGATTTTTCCGTGAAATGGAAATTTACAAATATTTGTATATATGTATGCGTTTATAAGTGGCTTCTTGGGTACCATCTCTCGATGGGAAAAAAAAAAAAAAAAAAGCTGCACATATATGGGGGCGGATGGTGGGGCATATGTATATATAATATACATAAATGCGCTATCTTACCACCCCCCCTCCACCATTTTGAGGGCGAAAAAGAATATAATATAACCCCCTCGTGTAATGAACCGGCTTTAAGATGTAAAGCGGTGCAGTGTCGCAACTAAAGCGGCGAAGTAGAGTCCTGCACCCACAGCAGGTGCGTACTCCGACGTAATGCCAAAATGACAGTGTATGTGGAAAGCACGCCATAATAGAAATTTGCCCTTTTCGGGGGAGCTACAAAATGGGTACCTCAAACATATATGTATGACGTATATATCTTGCACGTGAGGGGGGGATAATAATTATTTATTATATGAACACCTGACGGGGTGCTGCTTATGTTATGCTTCATAAAAAAGAGGGGGACAACAAATGAGGTAAAACCCAGCAGTGGGAAAAATAATGCGTAACAAATAAGAACGTATGTAGCACTATATTCCCCCTTTTTTCACGCCAATTGCGGAGAAGAAATATGAAGAGGCACACCAGGTTTGTGAGGAAGGCACATTTTTTCCACGGTCCGAAAAAAGGAACGATAAGGGAAAAATGTAGGTACGTATACTACGTATAAAGATATGTGATGGGTTACGCTCCGTGTAGAAGGCCAACCTTACAATATGCCATCATGGGAGTTTTCCCCACCCATTCAACTTAGCGCCTCCCGTAACCCCTCCTAAGCAGTTTGTAAAAATAAATTGCCCGGCGCGGAGGGTAAGCATAACAATACGCAAGAACATTATACCATACCAAACCCATTTATTCACATTCGTTTCATACACGAAGTGCAAGGTTAAAAGAAAAAGAAAGAAATCACCCCAAGCCGAAACCCCGTTGTGAGCGTTTTTACCTTTCATCGTAAAAAATTTACCTTTTTACCATTTATTGTATCGCATTGTTTAAAAAGAAAAAAAGGTGAAACACTTTTTTTTCCCACGTGGCAAAGCAGAAAAAGAGAAGTTATTCCAGTTTCCCTCGTAAAAAAGAAAAAAACAACGAAACTATATTAAGCGTACAAGTTCTTTATGCGATTGACGAGAATATAAGTAAAACAAGCATAATTTACTACCATCAGCGCGTGACAACAGCTTGCCGTTCACCCTTCGCCACTTCACCATTTCGCCTCTTCACCGCTTATACCATCGCCACGTAAACAATGGGTAAGGCAGGAAAGGGAACAGGGTCCTTCGGAAAGCGAAATGGAAAGAGCCACTTCCTTTGCATAAGGTGTGGGAAAAGAAGTTATCATTTGCAAAAAAAAAAATGCGCTTCATGTGGATACCCCAGTGCCAAGAAGAGAAGATTCAACTGGTCCGTCAAAGCCAAAAGGAGAAACACAATTGGAACCGGCCGATGTAGATATATTAAAACGTTGAGAAGGAAATTGAAAAATAAATTCACCGAAGGAAGTACCCCCAAACCGAAGCAAAGATGATTTTATGGGTATCAGATGGGTAGAATTTCCTTGCGGCATAGTAAAGACGCCTTAGGGCAGGAGCTGTCGTGCGGAGGGGAGTGGAAATTCCCACGCTTAGTGCGAGTATTCGTTTAAGAGATTTTTCCGAGAAGGTTTCCCAGATTAGAAGTATTGAACCGGGTGGATATTGGCCGCTTGACACCGGGGCTACTGTAGCCGCGTTGACTCATGTTAGGCAAATCATCGGATGAAAAGACGCTGGCAACGCGGAAACCATGTCATATGAGGGAGATGATGACTTTTGAAATACGTTCCAGACCTTTGCCCCATCGAGGTTCTTTTATTGCGGTCACGTTATACATATACAAGTTTGTATATTCGCATATGCATTCACATATGTGTGCATGCGCGTCTATATATACCCTTGCGCCGCTGCCTCCCAAAGCAGGGGTATTTTTTTTTTTTTTTATCCATTTCTTATGCATGTTTTATGCATTTTTTGTGCATTGTAACAACTATCACTTGTAAAAATTAACTCTTTTAAAAAAAAAAAAATCGAAATGTGTAAAGAATTGTAAAGGGTGCATCGGGGTGACAAACGTGGTGTAGGCCTTGCAAAGACGAGCGCAAAAGAGTTGCCTTGAGGGGAAAAAAATTAGTACCAATTGGACGTTATTTCATGGATGGGGAAAATTTTCTTACAAGTGACACTTTCATCAGAAATGAACCTTTTGCCGTTATGCGGCTTGTACATATGTGTAAGGCGACGGCTGTAAGATTTTCCGATTTGTAGGACTCCCCAAGATATGGCCACATTAGCTCAATACGGACAACTTGGAGTGGTTTGGCGCCGCCTTGACACTGCTGCTCCAGCGCTTCCACTTCATTTTTGTGCATGAGGGGATGGGCGCAAAGATGGATACACCAAAAGGCATGGAATTTTTTTTTTTCTTACCAAAAGTGGAAGTAAATGGGTTAGCCCAACGGGTTGGCCCATTAGGAACGTAAGAGGGCGCGTACTGCATGCGAATCAGCAAATGGTGACGGGTTGTAAGGCTCAAGGGGTACCCCCCAAGTGTTCCCTGCACACTTCCTCGTTCTGCGCGATTATGGAAAACATTTGCAAGCTTCCACTTAACGGTTCGAAGGAACGTAATCTCCTCCTCGGTATCCCTAGCAATGAGGCGAACCTTCCGCTGCAGGGGAAATCATCGCCTTCACCTCTTTGAAGAAGACATCACAGTGTGAGTAGGAAAGATATCTTGGGTGCAGTTGTTCATTTTTTTTTTCTTTCGCTTTAGGAGCATCTCAGAAATGGGGCAGTTTGGAATCTGGGCAGGGAGGGAAGACAAAAATTAAGTGATACACAATAAGGTGGAGGGTGAACCAATGTGCGCAACTGCGCGTGGGGTTTAACCTGGGGCGCACAATTGGGACCCTCCCCGTGCACTCCCGATGAGATAGTGCAGAGAAGTAGCAACAAAAGGAAGTCACGCATATATTGGCACACTTATATGGGCACACTTACATCGGCACAGTTATATATGAACCCCTTATTTTTATCTTTTATCTTTTTCCGCATTCCCCCTCTTACCTCGCCGATGTCGTATTCTTGATCGAAGAAGCGAGCCTTCTTGGCTGCCTTGGAGGGCTCCTTCGGATTACTATTCCTTCGGACGTACTTCCATCTTGAAGCGCCTTTCCCATTCCGACTATCGGTCAGACTTTCACCCAGCGCATTTGAACTGGAAATATCCTCAATCGTTACTTCTCCCTTTGGCAGAACTTTCTTTCGCACATTTATTATTATTTTTTTTCTTTTCTTCTTCTTCTTCTTAACTTCGATGTTTTTGTCTTCTTTATTATCTATGTCTTCGTTAGATTTGGTGTCCATTTTGAAATTTTCCACTGTTGACTCTATTTGCCTTTCCTGGGAGTGGAGGCATTCTTATTGTGCGCAGTTTTTATTTTATTTTTTTCTTCTTGTCACGTTGGACTGTGGAAGCATGAGCGGATCAGCCTACCCAGGGGAAATGAGTCAAAATAGGTTAAAACGGGTTACGGACAAATATGAATGAACATAAAGGGTAACCACGTGGTTGCCCGCTGAGACATTGCAACCGCGCTACCATCAAGAAGTTCTCATCTTCTCGCTATGAATGATTATCATTAGCAGAATTAACCTTTTACAAAATTGTATAGAAGTTTTTTTTTTGCACATTAGAAAAAATCGCAACTTTTCTGTTCCATAATCCGTACAACAACGACAACTTTTTTGTTCCATGTTGGATGTAAAAATTGCAACTTTTTTTTTGTTTTTTTTTTTTTGGACAACTGTGTCAGCGCACACACTCCAAGTAGAAATTAAAAAAAAAAAATGTTACAGTTTTTACAAGAAAGAAAAAAAAAAAAGAGCAACAAATTTTTACCATTCACCCATTTAGCCATTTACCCATACTTCAGTTCATCCATTCAGTGGTAACAGAATTCGCTGGTGGAAGTTGTCCCCCCTCCACGCGGCAAAAAAGGAGTCCTTCCTTAGCGGTGGGCATTTAACATACATGTGTGTGCACATTTGGAAATGTAGCACAATTGAGTGTAACGAAAAAATGGAATAGAAAAAAGGAGGAACGACGAACGGCGAAACGCAGTAACCCTTAACGCAGTAACGCCTTAACGCTGAAACCAACGAATGACGGATGGATGCCCTGACACCAGACGGGTGTCTGGTGGGAACGCCAGAAATGGCCTCCCTACCCAGTCTTCGCCTAACCACTTGACCCATTCCTCTGTCTGCTCTCCTCATTGTAGCACGCGCGGAATTTCTTCAATTCGTTTTGGCATTTTGCCCAATTTCTGCGGGGGTGGCCATGGGTAGGGGTACACCATACGTAGAGGTGTGCGAAAGGTAAGGCTGCACTGTGCGATTAACAACACAAGTAGGTTCTCGTGGAGGTATACACTACGAGGAAGTAGCCCAGATCGCTATCGCGCTGGGGATATGTCCCTCACGGCAATCAAACCTATCGAAGGTATCCAAACACTCCAGCAGCGCACTGTAATCTCTTTCACATTTTTCCACTTCGCCCTTGTCGTCATTGCGTTCATCTGACATAGCAAATGCAAGGTGGTTAAGTGGGCATATGTTCACTCCCTTGTAAACGTACATGTGTGAAACACGCAAAAAAAGGGAAAACAAGGAGAGCTACATGTATGTAATGCTAATTAGTTCGGATAATGATTAAACAAAAAGGGAAAAGGCAATCTTCTATGTAGAATTACTCGCATATTCCTTCATTGTTGTGACGCTCCTTTTAATAAAAAAAAAAAATCGGCGATGGAATGAATTACGAACATGTTTGGGTGCAGTCACCTCCCTCTCAGTGGTAAATTTTGCTCTCTTACGATGTGTGATACTTTTCCGTTGCTGGCACTTCTCATTATGGAGTTTTTTTTCCTTAAAAAGGAAACAAGGAAAAAAAAGAATGTTGTCCCTGTTAGTGAGCCTATACTTACCTAGACCGCGTACGCTTAGGATGACGCTTCACGTGGAAGATAAAATTTGGATATGTACATAAGTTCCTTTTTTTTTTTTTTTTTTTAAATTTATGTGTTACATCGCTTCGGGGGGGGAAAAAAAACGGAAAAGAGAGTACGCACAACAAGGAAACACACAACGCAGCGAAGGGAAGGGTAGCGCGACAAAAAGGATAATACAAGGCGCTGCGCACACGTACTAGTGACTCCTCAAACGGAACACTAAACATGAATAATAAAACACACAAGCCGAGATGTTCCAATTAACGAGGCTCTCCGTGTGAGGACATTTTGGGAAGAGCGACAAAATTGTTATAAAGTGCGAAATGGGGTAACTGAATCATTAAGTGGGGAACTAATTTTGTAAGATCGCATGAGAGGGAGCTTCCGCTATTTGTATGCGAGTTTTACGTGGAGCTTTATTGTTAAGTGACTCGGCGAGGCGAACCCTAATGCTGCACTCGCTTTGCCTATACGCAGGAACGTATGCACCCCTGCCATTTGAGGCGTCCGCGAAGAGTTCTTGTGTCAGCAGAAGCGGTTTATACGTTATACTAGGCCAGGGAAGCAGCTGCAAGTTAGGCTTCTTAAAAAGGGACAAAAGAGGAAGAAGACGAACAAGAGGAAGAACTCCCCAAAACGTAGGCATACAAGGGACCATAAAAGGGACGATAAAACAGACGCAACGTGGGGGATAGGCCAATGGCGCACGGGGCGAAAGGCGAGTGAGCGACCACGTGCATTCTTCTGCAGAGACACACCCAAGCAGGAGCGCCCCCCCACTCGGTTGAGAATCTCCCCACAGCACAAATGAATGATGCATCCCTCGCCCCTCCAGCGGACCCTCCTAGTAGTGCTTCTCATAAAGTTCCTTTCCCACGCCCTGCGAAATTATAAGAAGGTGAAAGTGAGGCCATATATCCAGGTATGGCTAAAGAGGGAACACCCCAGGTATTCTATCCGACGGGAAAAGAAAAAGGCGAGATGTTTTTCCCCTGGGAGGAAGACGAAATGGTGCAGCTCCTTCGAGTTGTTCAGCGAGCATGTGAAGGGTAGGGATGGGAATCGCGGCGATGACGACGAGGAGGAGGAAAACCTGGAGAGTGGCAACCCCAACGATGGCGACCTGCTGGATGATGAAATTTCATACGACGACGTTGAAGAATACCTAAAGAAGAACAATTTTGAAGATGCCCGCCAAGACGATGAGGGGAAAAAGGAAATTATTAAATTGATTAACTACCTCCCGACCCTAAAAAATGAAGAAGAATTTTTTTCTAAGTTTGGCTACTCCAGTAGCGAGAAAAGGTCCATGGAGTATTACTTTAATGAAATGAAAGATCTGAAGGAGAGGAAGCAGAAGAAGAACCACAACATTTTAAATTTTATTCTGTCCTATTATTTGAAAAGAAAAAATGCGAATGGGCAGAGTTCCTTGAGGAATTACCAAAGTGTGCAGTCTTATTACGACTACATTAATGACGTGATGCACAACCGAGGTGCCTCTCTCTCTGTGGCGAGCGGTATGTAAGAGTGGGTGAGCTGCGGGAGGAGTGCCTCCTCTTTGTGAGGGAAAAATCATCGGCTTCTTGACTGGGCTAAATCGCATCTCTGGAGGTGCAAAAATTGCGCCCCCGCCTTGTTGCCCCAGCGCGCGGGGAGATACACATATAAATAGGTCTTCATATTTATATATGTATATATGTGTGTATTTTTTTTTTTTTTTTCCTCTTCGTAGCCCAGCCCCCCAAAAAGGACAACATCTTCTCGCGGAAGACGCTGTGCAATTTTATCTCCTTCTACCTGAAAAACGCAAACATCATAAAGTACGCCTCCTTTCTCTGCCTTAGCGGATTGCTGACGTTCTCCTTGAAGGCACTCATAAGGCGCATCAAGCTGGAGGATATCTTCCTCTTAAGAAACCATTTTCACTTGGTGTACGCACTAAAAAATGTGCATGTGTGTAAAGTAGCAGTCTTTTCCTTCCTAATGAATTTTTTATTCATAAATAAGTACAATCAATATTTCTGCGTGACGGAAGATTTGTTCGGAATATTATTTTCCAATTATTTTGCCTACGAAGGGATACATAATCTGACCAAAAGGAAGATCGAGGAATTCATGCTCAAGTACAACTACACACTGGATGATGTTTTAAATTCCATGAATGAGATCTTTTCACACTACTTGTATAGACAAATATGCACAAATGAAACGATGGATGGAGACGTCCTTGTTGTGTTGAAATCCTTTGTGAGTCTCTACCAGAAGCTGTTTCGAAGCAACAAGGAAAATATAAAAAATATTATGAGCCTCGTGGCAAACAAGTACAATGCGCACTTTGCCGAGAAGGGAGAAAATAGGGACTCCGTCCTCTCGCGAATTTTTTACATTTTTTACTTGCTGAATCTTATGTTTAAATATGACGTGGACTCTGTCGAGAGGCTGAATCTCCACCGTGGGAACAGTCTGCACATTCCCTTCTTCGCGCGGAGCAACCGGATCTCTAGCTACTTCCTCCTGACTCACATCGCGCATCAGATGGGGGTGAGTGCGTTGTGCAGCAGTTATTGCCCTTGCTGTGTATAAATGGCTGCCACTGTTGTGTATAAATGGCTTCCCTTGCTGTGCCTCAATGACTGCTGATTCCCCTTCACGCCGCTCCCCTCCCCGCTCAGGTCAAAGAAAAAACGATCAACGAAAGCTTGCTCGAAACGATGAAGGGAAACTACGAGGCGCACATCCGGGGGCTCCTCACTAACAAGCAGAACTCCAGTAGTGTCCTGGAAGACATGAAAAAAATGGACTTCCTGACGTTGGATGATGCCATTCTGGAGGACGTACACAATGAAATTTTCGTTAGCATCGTTAAAGGGATCATGGAACATGAGAATTACGAACCTGTTTATTTTGTTCCTCGTGAGAGGGAAGGAGAACTTCATGCGACTGCGATAGGAAGTGCGCATGGCAAGGTGGGTGGGAAGTCCATAGGTGAGGGGGGCGACAATTTGGGAGGAGAAGATAGTGTCGCCCACCAGTATGATGATGAGGCGGAGCAGTATGATGATGCAGCGGAGCAGTATGATGATGCAGCGGAGCAGTATGGTGATGCAGCGGAGCAGTATGGTGATGCAGCGGAGCAGTATGGTGATGCAGCGGAGCAGTATGGTGATGCGGCGGACCTGGATGATGACGCTGCGGAGGAAGATCCCGCCATAGACGAGTCGGACGACAACATGTACAGACACCTGGAGAACAGCGTGGACTACATCGTGAACGAGGACGCGGGCAAATCGGGGGAAAATCACGACAACAGAGGTATCATTGCGGAGAGGGAAAAAAGGGATCTGGAGGAAAAGAAACTGTTCCTGAACAAATGGAATGACATCAATTTTTTGAGGAAATATTTACATATGGACAAAAAATACATGGACAAATATCTGGAAAGATACCTCTACGATTATATCTACAGAGAGTACAAAATTTTTATTAACAATTTAATTTTTAAAAAAATGAAAGACAAAAATGATCATTTGTTTTTTTTGAAAAAAGGAATATCCATATCGGATAGCGCAACGGAAAATATCATCAAAAATATTTTGCTCAAGTTTGTAATTAAGACCAAGGAAAACATTGCAATTTTTTTGAAGCTGGAAAATATGGAAAAGTGTCTACGGCTTATACAAAATTTGATCTATGTGTATAAAAAGATAAAGAAGAAAAAAAAATTCTTGAGGATTCCAAGCGACGATATTTTTAGCCTCGACGATCTGTTCGCGTGTAACTCTTATAGGGCGCTAGGCGGGACCGACAAGGAGGGGGGAGCGGAGGCAGGAATACCTGGGGAGCAGTCAACCGGGGAAAGACAAACCGGAGATGGAGTAACCGGAGATGGAGTAACCGGAGATGGACCAACGGGGGAAGGAATAACCAGGAAAGGATCAGATGCGTATGGATCATCCCCTGACGAACTATCTCCTAACGGATTATTTCCTGACGAATTAGCTGCTAACGGATTATCTCCGGAAGGACCAGCGGAGGAAAGCCTTCCCGCCGAAATGGATGAGGAAGAGTTGCTCAAAAGGATCATCTACAAAGATCACCTTGGGGGAGAAGACGGAGGAGATGGAAAGGACGGCATACTCCCCCAAGAGGAGCGAAAAAAATTGTACGAAGAATTTGTAATAAAACACATGAAGAACCAGTCAGAAAGAAAAATCTTGAAAATAATTTTTAATTTAAATTACGACCAGGTGGACAGAGAGGTGGAAGATAACATCATCAAACGGTTCTTAGACAAAATCTGCACGAAGTGTTTAAGCAGCATGAAAGAAGTGGATGATAGGTACAAAATTATAGGACAGGAAAATCTGTTCGATTATAAGAATATCAATTTTATGGAGTCCCTGGAGAGGGAGAAATCCAAAAGGGGCCACAAAAAAGGGGGGGAACGAAGCGTACCTACGAAGGACACTTTCATCATTCGAAAGGAAGACATTTTCGAGCACATCGATGACGACTCATTTGAAGAAATTTGCAAAAAAATGTACATAAATAAAATTAAAGAAGCAAAAAAAAACCTATACCACATGAGAAAAGATTTATATATGTATGAAATTATACTGAACATAAAAAACGCGCAAGAAATACACGATGTTTTCCTAATTGATGAATATGAAAAAATGATTAGGGACATTATAAAAACGAATATATTGAATAAAAATTATAAGAATATAAAAAATGTGTATTTAAAAAAAATTGTTAACTTTTTAAATTTGTCCGACGAAAAAGCAGCGGACGTTGAAATGAGGTGCATTTTTTTGCAGACTTATGAAATATTTTCCGCAGTGAAGGAGAATTTTTACATTTACAGGAGTGACTCCGATTTTGTCAGTAACATTAACGAGATTCTCACGATATATAGAAACTTCGATCTGATTAGGTCCAAGGGGCAGCAGTACTATGTCAAGTTTTCCCTTATCGAGTCTAATTACAATTTGCTCCATCGCATTATCGAGCGCTATGTTCTTTACGTCATTGACTTGATCAACGACGAAAACAGATCCCTCTACAAGGAGAATATTTTCCTACTCGCCACAATTTTTCGCGTCAGCCCTGGGATCATCGATGATATTGCCACGCGGATATACAAGGTGGGTAGCAGCAGCGGTGCTATGTAGTGGGGTTGTTCCCCTACAATAGTGCCCATAGAACAATACCCATAGAACAGTGCCCTTACAGCACTACCCTTACAATAATGCCCCTCCAAACGTGACTCCCTTTGCAGAAATACATCGAAGGCCAAGACCTCCACGCCATGAACAACATGGATGCCTTCTTCAGCTTCCTCTTCAACATGGACAAAACGAGGCAGTGCGAAATAGTCCTGGAGCACCTGAGAAAGAAGGTAGACACCCACTTAGCCTCCGGCGAAGGGTTCCAGGAGAGGATGCATAAATTGTATGACGTGATTTTCTTCATAAATAACAACTTGCAGCTAAGGAAGAACATTTTCGAGGTGTCCTCGGCCGATGCGGAGGCTGTGTATGCTTTCTTAACTGCCTGCGTGGAGGAGTATCTGCATGCCAAGAAGACGGAGGCGTTCATTTCGGAGCACCGTAAGTTCCCAGCGGGCTGCGAGGTGGATAGCGGCGTGGATAACAACGCCGATAAGAGCTTGGACAGCAGAATACACAATAGTGCTGTTACCTGCTTCCATAGCTTCTCCAAAATTTGCGTGACACGTCGCTCACCCCTTCACTGACAGGCGATTACCTAAACCACTTGAACAACTGTCTGAGCAAAATCAAGACACTCATAAAAGGGGATCAAGAAAATGTGCACATGAGTAACGTCATGAATGTTTTGTAAGAATTCGAAAGCTGCCTGGATAGCGGCGTGGCTCATTCGTCCCTGCGAATAGAAGCGGCAGACGCACATGCGTCCATATGAATGAATCTGCATGCGAACCTATCTGCCCCTGCGTCAGGATTACTCTTTGTACATTTATTATGTATATGTAAGTATATATACATATATATGCTTTTTTCTTTTTTTTTTTTTCACCTCTACAGGAAGAATACCATCCTCAGAAAAGCCATTGCCCTTTTAGACAAGTTCCAATACGACGTAGGGACAAGAAAGAGCCACATTGCGTGCAAACTCTGTGTTCCATGGGGGATCCCCCATTAGAACACGCGTCAACCGAAAGGCACCATCTGCGTTTACCCGTTGCATCATTGTCACGATTGCGGCTAACCCTTTAAATTATGAACCCCCTTTTTTTTTTTTTTTGTACCCCCCTGTGACAGATGTGCGTAGAAGAGATTTACAACTTGATCAAACTGCAGATGGTCGATAGCAGCAGTAACTTCGCAGATGTGGATATCGAGAAGAGGAAAAAACTGGTAGGGAGGCGGCGGCTTTGTATATGCACACAACTGCGTAGAAATGTGCGTGAAGCCGCGGTTGGTGTGTCTCGCGCGAGCACGCGTGATCACAGTTGTGTAACGTTTCAATTCTTTTATCTATACAATCGTACCGCTTCCCCACTTGTGTAACGTTTCCTTTTTTCTATCTGTACAACCATACGGCTTCCCCACTTGTGTAACTGCGCCTCTCCCCCTTTTGTCCCACCCTTCAGGTAAACATATTTTCCTACCAAAACATTAGCGATGAGAAGAAGTTCCTCTACATGGACATTTTGAACAAGTAAGGATGTGGGGTTCCTCAAAAGAGACAAACCTCGGGGGGATGACGACACCGGCGTAAGTTCCACGCGTTGGGTACGTATAGGATGGGCAAAAATGTTCTCTTTTTTTTTTTTTTTTTTTTATAGAGCCTTGCTGTAATTACGACTCGTGGGGTGAGCCAAATGGCGTCTCCAGATGGCAGGTTTTGATATGGGACGTTTTAAGAGTAGACGTTTCAAGAATAGACGTCTCAATAGTAGACGTTTCAAGAATAAACGTTTCACGATGGGGAATGAAAAAGGCGACCAACCGACTGCCCCTAAACGTGCACCAACGAGCAATGTTAGAGTAGGCGCGGTTCGCACCTTTGAATTGGCGATTCTGCAGGACGAAGGTGGAATGGCTTCTAACCGGGTGGGAAGAAAAAGTTCTTTAAAAAACGGGCACTCTGTGGGGATCCTCTGGGCATTTTGGCCACTCTGAGTGGTACTAGTGCTTCACCTGACATGGGCGTATGCTCCCCCTAACGTGGCCGTATCCTCCCCCTCCGTTCGGTCAGTTGGTGGGGTTCTGCATCTGCGCGCTGAGGTCAGCGTCCACGAGGTATTTAATCTTCCCCAGAATATCACCATTGTAAACACTTTCGTACTTCGTGTAAAAGCTGGAGGTGGTGTCGTACAGAATTTTGAAAGCATTGATATCGTCGAAGAATCCCTTTCTGTATTCATCGTTGCTGTAATCTGAGCAGTCGTCGTCATCATCATCGTCATCATCATCGTCGTCATCGTCGCCTTCATCATCTTGATGATGCCTACGTGCGTTTCCTTGCTGTAAAATTTGCTCATTAGTAGTGAACTGCTTCAACATATCTTTGTGGCTGAACGAGTTGTTATCGCTTCTGTTTTGTCCAGAAGCAGAGTTGTTTGTGTGTTGCTGGTTCGCCAGATCATCCAATTTGTTGAGATTTACATTTTCCTTTAACTTAATTTTTAAGTCATTTTTTTTTTCCAACGCTTCAATTGTTTTAATTAATTTGAAAGCCTTATCATTCGTGGCATCTTCATTTTCGTCAATGTCCACTTCGCTATTTTCGTCTCCTGAGGAAGACTCTGAATCGAAGGACTTTTCCGATGACTCCTTCTGCTCATTCTTATTCTCGTAGTACACCTTGGCCACATTGACAATATTTAGGATAAATGAGTTTGCCTCCCCGATGTGCATGCTTATATCGGCGTTGTGCATATTATCCAGGATGCTGCTCATGGCAAGAATATACAGCTTCCTCGTGTTGTTCATTTGGACGTCGTCAAGGTTGGATAGCAAGGACAGGATGTAGTTTGTCCTATTCGTGTTGTTAAAAAAGAGGAAGAACTGATTCACATCATATATGATGATAGAGTAGAAGAGCTTCTTAATATACTCAATGCTGGTTTTGCTGAGGATGTCTTCATCATACTCGCTGCATATGCTTTCCGCTCCATCGTCCTCATCCCCTTTCTGATTACCATTCTGATTGGTGCCTTCCATGGAGAGTTCCTTTTTTTTCTTCTTCTGGTTCATCAGGGCGGATGCCTCGTCGTGCTTAAATAGCTTCATGGAATACGTAGTGAGGATCGGGAGGACCAGTTCGTCGACTCCCCTAATCTTCACCGTTGCCTCGAACAAAATAAAGAACAACTTACAGCTATCTTTCACTATTTTGGAGTGCAGGGCGAATATACCCAATCGGTATACCATGTGGATATACTTCATTCCGTACCTCTCACTGTACAGATTGACAAACTGCTGCGTCGCTTTTGAGATGATGTTGTCGAAGACACCTATGCTGAAGGACAGGTCGAAGATGAAGTCGTAAAAGTATACATCCGTGTTCTTATCGGAGAGTATCAAATCGGTGCTTAAAATCAGTTGGGGATTATTTCGAATACAGTTTAATTCTTGCATCTTTAAATTGTCATCCGTGTTGAAGTAGAAAATGTCATACAACTTTTCGAAGCGGAGGTACACGTCGTTGTCTATCTCTAGGTAGTAGGTAATGTTCGTCAGCAAGGAGAGTGCTTCCTCAAGATAATCGATGGAGGGCGACTTAAACGTTTCGTCTACCACAACGTAAAGGTACGACATTGTGTTTTTGTAAATCTGTTCTTTGTTTCCTTCATCCACTGAATCGAGTAGACTCAAAATGGCCGTCAGGATGGACAGAATAACTGAGTTTAGGTCTAACTCTTCATTCTCCGTTTTCTTCTCCTTCTTTGTCACGGTGTATTCATCGTCATTCATGAGGGAGTACCTATCGTTTCTAAGTGTACTCCCTTGTGTTTGACTGGCCAGGTGTGGGTTATGCCTCAGGTTATTCTCCAGCGAGTTGTGCGCACTCTCCTCATCCTTCTTGTTAATAAGAAAAACAAAACTGGTGCAAAGGGTAATAACCACGTCGTTAACATACGGTGTTATGTAGTCTTTGTAGGTGTACGCCAAATTGTCCAGCGTCATGACGATGTACTCACATTTGACCTCTTTAATGACGTTGAGTAAACGCTCAATAAGAATAGGAATAGACTTGATAATCACACTTTTCAGGTAGTCATTTTTTATTTTGAAGAATTTTTTTATGTAGGACGCACTGGCTACCCGGATGAGTAGGCTCGGGCTACCTATGTGATTTAGAACAAACTCGTAGTTCTTGACGAGGGCATTCACATCGTTAAAGTGTTGCACCTTTTTAATGAAGCAACAGTAGGTGACGATGGACTGGTAACAAACTAAATGGTTAGGGTTATTCAGATCATTTTCTACATACGTTTTTAGAAACTGCTCGATGTTCATGTTCCTCTTCTTATCGCACAGTCGGCTGTAGAGGCATTCCAAGATTTTCAACGCGCCATACTTATATTTGCAGAACTCGTTTCGAAGCAATTCTTCCAGCATGGCTTCGTCCTGGTTTCCCGGAGCGGTAAATTTGCTATACACCAAATGGTAATTCTGATTATACGTAGTGATGACATTCTCGCAGAGGTTAAATAACTCCGAGATGTGTTTCGATCCCCGGTAGCGAGTCAAATCTTTAATGAAAGACGTAGCGCTGACTCTTTTATCCTCCACAATGTAGGTGTTAAAAATGTTCATGGTAAAGTCATACTGGTCGCAAAGGAACTTCTCTATATCATCATCGTTGTAGCAGAGAAGGGGGAAGATAACATTCCTGACCAAAAATTCAAAGTTATTTTTTATGTAGTTTTTGTAGATAAGGGCATTTTCAACTCCGTAAGATAGTCCCTGCAGAACGTAGACCAAGCATTCATCAGTTAGCGTCTTCTTATTTTTGTGATAATTCTGCAGGATGATGATGAGATCTTCGAAGAAGGGGCATAGCCATTTGTTCAAAAATGCCTGACAGAATTTCTCCGTAATTTCGTTATTGCATTTGTTGTAATTTGTATTCACATATCTAGAGAAGAGTCGAGTCACGATGTCTAAAACGACCCTCTTGCACTTGTATTGTGGCAAGGTTTTCAAGTAACTCTCATCCTCCACGTAGTTGGAGACGACAATTTCATTTTTGAGGATAAAATCGAAGAGACTAAAGTAATTGTCCATATACTCCAGAATGATCACTTCGTTAATGAAAAAGTTGTCATTCACATAATGATATATTTTGCAAATGATGCAGAGTATTTCACACACTTCGTTGCTGTTGATATCAACGGAGCTTAAATCGTAAAGGCAATTAATGAGTGGGTAAAAATACTTGTTCAGCATTTCTGTGTACAATTCATTGTTTTTCTTTTTTTTTATTTTTAATTTTTTAAAAATTAACTTCAAGCAGTACAGACTCACGTACAGTCTCCTCACATCCTTCCTCTGGTTAACATCATTAAGGATATTATCCAGAATGACAAAGTGATCTGGAAAGCTATTGTGTATTAGCACCTTCATTATTTCAAACAGCTGCATGTAAATCTGCTTATCCTTCATTTCAAGGTAGAGGAAACTTTCATATATGTCCTTCGTCAACCCACAGATCTCTTCCTTCTTCAGTGTCTCATAGTTATTTTTTATGGTGTTTTTTAAGAAGATGAGAGCTGAAATCCTTATGTTGTCGTCCACTAAGTTGGCACTCTTCACGATGTTTAGGATTACATTTATGTACCCCTCCACTTTGCACACCTGCTTTAGGTATTCCTCGGATTGCGTCCTCTTCTCCTTAGACGCGCTGATGGATCCTTCCAACACTTCACACAGCTTCTCCATACTCAGGATGGTGTTCATGCTGCGTCTGCAAGGTGATATTATCTGGAGGTGGGTAAACACTTTGTCTGTTCCTCTTCCGGCGAATTTGGAAGTTCTTATCCGTTCACGTGTCCGGGGGGCGGGGCTCTATTTTGTGAAGCTCGCGGGGGGAAATTTCACCGTTTTGGAATTATCTCGGTGTGGTGGCGGACACGGGTGGAATGGATAAATTGGATGTCAACACACGGGGGGTGAATCTGGGGTGGGAGTCGCCCATTTTAATGAGTGCCGAATCGTGGGCAAAACGGGGAAGTTACTCATACCCTGCCGTGCACGCGCATGTGCTGGGACAACCCTTTTGGCTAGTAATTTGGCCAAACGTCAAGATGTTTGATGCATATGCGCGAGGGGGGCTTCCTGTGCTTATTTTGCTAAAGCGCACGGGAGGATTCAGCTAAGAGCCGCGTACAAAAGGGGCACATCCTTCCCATGATTTTTTCCATGCATCGGCTACTCGTGAGGTACTTCAAACGGTTCGCCAATTCCCCTACTTTTCACACAAATTTATATATAAATGAGTATATGCATGTGCGTTTATATGGGGAGAACATGCTCACTTGGAAAACGCGGCAGGGGGTGAGATCCGCGGAAGCACATCATCTCGTTCGAGCCGACTGCCTTTTTTATTTTTCAGCCTGAAAAAGGAAAGAAGGAAACTGGCTTCTGAGGGTATTTGCGGCTGGAGATGAAAAGTGGAAAAATGAGAAATGTTTTCCTTTGCAAAACTGCTTGCAGAAACGGTTGGGGGTGGGAATTCTGCTGCGCAAGTTAGGATGATATACAGGTGAACAATGGATTTTTTTTTTTAAGCCACCCTACTTCGCTTTGGTTTGGCTTGGTTCCTGAAATTGCTACGTTCGTAGGCATTGGGCGTTAAAAAATTTCGAGGGTTTCTTGGCGGTTTCTTCGCCTTTTGTGCGCTGCTTGTGCCATTTTTGGTCTTTGGATGGTTTGGTTGATTCGGATGGTGCCGATGGTATGTTTGGTTGGTTTATTAGCCCATTTGGCCTATTTTGCCCATTTGACCTATTTGGCCCATTTGGTCCATCTGGCACATGGGTACATTCAAGATTTTTTTTCCGTTTCACGTTCATGTGCATTTCACGTGTGCCTTAAGTAAAAGGAAAAATTAATTTTGCACCTGTGGCATATAGATATTTTACCGGGTGTATGTGCATAATGCATATAAAATCCACCGTCCGCTCATTGACGTATCCTCAAGTCGCCGAATCCGCTGACCGGTACTACATAACGGCATGTGGCACAATTAACTTGAAAATTAACCTTCGATGGAGGAGTATATGAGAAATTTTCGACAAGATTAAAAAAAAAAAAAGAAAACATTCTGCACAGAAAGGAAACACCACATCTATTTTTTCCTTTTTTTTCATCTTTTCCATATTTTTATCTTCCTTTTTGTGAAAAAAAGAAAAAAAAAATGAGAACACTTTTCTGCCACTCGTTAAACACCCTCGGTGATATGCAGTTAAAACTGGAAGCACAAACATTTGTACACCATCCGTAGCATTTCGCGAAGAGTGAAATAGAGGAATACAAAAAAAGGCCCCTTCGAGGATACACGCATTTATATGACTTTACTCTGCCCCTGAAAACCTACACATATAATTTCGTGTGGTTGACATATAGCTGTTACGTGAAAATTTATTTTCCCATAGAAGTGTAGTTATCTTCTTTCCTGCATTTTGCTCAGCTGCGTTGAGTTTTCCCTGTGCTTCGCTCCTCTCTGCACCCCTTATGCGCATTACACCAATACGTAAACAAGCCAAACTCATCAAAATGAATAGATTTTTTTTCAACACGCTAAATTCGTCGCTGTTTCAAAACTTCAAATTTAAAAGCTCCTTTTTGAGTTCGGGATATTTTGCGGCCAATCGAAGTATCTCGACCAGAATTGGCGGCACCTCCTTCTGCGGCGAACTGAATAAAGCCAACTTCTTCGTGAAGTATTACCACACGTCTCCGTTCATCAGCAAGACGGTTAAAACTACCAACTGCAATGCGCTCCTGCAGGTAATTTGCCCACACGTGTGTAACTGAGAAATTCTCTTTTTTTTACACCTGCATCCGTTGCTGTGCGCGTTCTTCGTGCAACCCCTTTGGAAAACTGCGCTGATTTTTCTCCGCCCATCTTTTCGTGCCTCGCAACTGAGCGCCATGGTGGTCCTAATGTTGTTTTTGCGTTAACTCTGTGACGTCTTCCAAGTGGCGCAGCACGTTGAGCGGCAGATTGTCCTTTTTTGTCACATTTTCACGTCTTTCGTTTTTTTCTCGTTTTTTTTTTTGGATTTTTTTCTCGTTTATTTTTTTAATTTTTTTTTATTTTTTTTGATTTTTTTTTATTTTTTTTCATTTTTTTCGTCTTTTTCTTCATCTCCCTCCTCACCCAGAAGAATGACGAACGAAACTGCGTCAACCAGAAACTAGGCGTGAGACATGACAGTGGAATCGCCAGCCTGTCCGCAGCCATTGCGCTCATGTCCGTGGGAGGGGTAAGTAGTCACATTGGGAACCAAGCAAAGGAAAAAAAAAAGAAAAAAATAGCTAGCTAGCCCAACTACCTCTGTTCATGAAGCGAGAATAACTGAGCATTATTGAGAAATGGGTCAAAATGATAAACTTTCAAATGGGAGTGGCAAAACATAATGAGGAACCAAATATGGAACGACCCCTTTAACCGTCTTAAACACCTCCCAATGAGCTCCTTTTAAAAAAAACTCCCTTTAGGTTGCGCAAGGTATCGGCAATTTATTCTCAGCCCTGGTGCTAGGAACGAGTAGGAACCCTTCCATTAAGGACGAGTTGTTTACATACACGCTGATCGGGATGGGATTCTTGGAATTTCTGGGTAATGCGTTGCGATGATGGCGGCTCCTTTGCCGTTTATGTGTTCCCCCCTTTTGCGCATTCTTCCAACTGCGTTTCCCTTGTTGGGCCAAAAATGTGTATATTTTCCACCCCCTCCTCTTCTGACAGGTATCATTTGTGTCCTGATGAGTGCTGTTCTACTGTACTCGTGAAGGGAAGGTCCACTTTGTGGAGACTAGTGGAAGAGGAAAGTGGGGCACAACTACACGCACATTTTTACGTGCCACAAGAGTCGATGCACAAGGAGATTACGAAACTTTTTTTAATTAAATAATGAATTAAATTTTTTCATTTCATGACCAAAGTGACGTATGCATGACTGCACGAACGTGTTACACTCCTGGGTGAAGAAGCTCAATTTGCTCCACACCTCACCACAATTTAAATTTCCCGGTTCTATTACTAGTTCCGGGAACTGCGTTTTTCTGCTTTGCATCACGGGGGTGCATATGTGTAGGTATGCACACAAATATATCTGCTTGTGTGTGTTCATATATGTGGTCATATACCTACCTATATGCGCATGGTCTTACTTGCACGCGTGTGTGCAGTTATGAAGCCTTTTCTCCCTTGCACGTTTTAATAGAACAAAGCAGGGCAATGCGAAGCTGCGTGCGGCGGAAGAAAACCATCGCTGCGCAGTAACAGTAGGCCTACGTTCATTCAAACGAAATTTTAATTGCTCCTAAAATTGAAAGACGAATTGGTCACTTCACACGTGAAGATAGGTGACATGCTGGAAAATGTGAAAAGAAAAAAAAAAAAAAAAAAAAGGTGCATGGATTCTTTCCCGTCTTTTAATCTAATGTATGTACAACGCTTGGAGAGAGGTGGAATAACGGGGGTGCTATTCCCACTTCGGATATTTACACGTAAAAGGGGAAGCACACTGGCATTGGTCCTTTCGGATTGCACTTAAAATTTTGCCACTCATATTAGCAGAGGTAGGATCATAAACCTTTGTTTGTATCTACGGCCAGACACATGACTGCACTCCCCATAGAAGAAATGAGCAGACGCAATTTATCTTCCCATACCTCATGAGTAATAATTACCCATAGTTTTCAACCTCAATTCGAAAGAAGTGGGAATAAAGAAATCATATTAAAGCAACAACAATTTCACGGAGATCTCTCTTCGCACATAATGTTGGACGGACGCCTGCATTGCCTTTTTGGCCTACTTTGCTTCTTAACCCTTTCGCGCATCTCCTGGTGTAAAGTAGCGGCTGCAGGTTCTTGCTCCTTTAACGTAAACTTTATCTAAATGGGGAAAAAGAAAAAAAAAAACAGATAGCATTTTTTACTATGCCCATGAGCCCTGTCATGTTGCTACGCTTTGTCTGCATTTCGCAGAATGACTTCATTCGAGAAAGACACAATGATTTGCGGCTGAAGCATAACGCCGATTCGTTGCGCTGGTAAACGGAATTCTTTTTAATGGCACTTGAGTAGGCCCCATGTGAGGATTAAATTGACCGTTTCTGTTACACGGATGATATAATGGAAGTGTTTTTTTTATTTTTTTTTTGTTTGCACCCTCTGTTAAGGAGCACAGAGCTGGAAAAGGCTGCAAGCGCTGAAGCCAAACTGGTTACTGGACAATTTTTCTAATTTGCCTCTTTGCATAAACAACAACTGTTGCATAGTGGATGGAAAACTCAGCAAAACGGATTCCCACTTAGGATTTTTCGAAGCCGTTTTGCTTTGAAAAAAAAGGGGTCTTGTATCTGCACATGGAACTACCCTCCCCTTTTACAGATAAAGGAGATCTCCAATTGTACTGTCATGCTGAACCAAATAAACACAAATTATTTTAGCATTTCGCCCAACAGCAAAATTGAATCAGCCGTCGATACATGGTATGAAGGCATTAAGAACTATGACTTTGAATTAGGTAATAGACAAAAGGGGGAGCAATTAAATGGCTGAGTGAAAAAGAAGTCGAATGACCAAAACGGGTGCAACATATGGTGTGTCTTTATGTTGCCTTGTTCCGTCCTGCTGTGGGAAAGTACTCACCATTGAACATATTTAAAAAAGTTTTCCCAAAAATGAAACAGCGGCGAGAGGGATAGATATCTAACGGAAGAGTAATTTCGCATGTGTCACGCACGTCGAATTATTCCCCCTTCCGAATAGGACAGAGAGACAGAAAAAGAGAATTCATCTCATAAACGCGCCTATCGAAATTGATGAGCACAATTTGCCAGTGCTCCTATTTTTTCTACATTGGGGGGGCCTCATACGCAGAGGATATCCATGTGTGCACTATTTGCTTTCTTGTCAGGGCCCATCCGCCGAGGGGACGACACTGTTTTTCAATTCACCAGGGTTGTATGGAACAGCGCCGAGGTACTTCCTGCGTGAGCAGCTATGTATACATTTACACGTACGCATTACGCACATATATGTACATATATATCTATTTAATATATGTACTATATATGGACATACATATATATATATCTATATATCCACACATTCCCGTGTTGAAAAAACGCAAAGAACTCATCCTCGAGCGTGCAACACGGCGAGATAAGTGACCTCTGCATGCACACCTTTCCACATCACAGAAGATCGGGTGCTCCAGTGCCTGCTGTCGTAACAGGGGGGTTTTAATTTGTAAATATGACAGTCAAACGAATCAGCCAGGTACGCAGATTAACCAGTTCACAATTGAGAGGCGCTTTCTATAAAATTATTTCACACAATAAGCAGCGGAAATGGTGCGACTGTTTGGTGTTGAATTTGAAAATCAGCCTCTCCGTTAAATTTGTCATTTTTTTTTTCTGCATACAACTGCGCAGGTCATTTCGCCGATAACGTTGGGACGCTTGATGTAAACCGCTGAAAAAGAAAATGGAGAACTTTACCTGCAAAATTGCCAAACTGTTTGTGTGCTTCTCTGGTGGGGGGCACACTATTCTCATGTAAATGGGGGAGATATACTCCCAGGATGTAGAAGTCGGGGGAATATTTATTTTATTTTTATTTTTTTTTCCACCTCCGCAGCCAATGTTCGTTTGGGAAAACTTCACATTCCCGCCGGAACAGAGACGACCAGGCAGTGAGCCAAGTCAGAATCATCTCCCCACTTTGCCCATTTCATAAACAGATTTGTAGATATATTGATAATTTAAAACGTTTCTCACAAAATTAGGGGTAAAATGCAATTAGAAATTTGCAATTCGCCTGAAGCATATTCCATTTTGTGTAAGAGAGAAAGAAAAAATCGACGCGGTGGTTGGGGAAACCCCTTGACTCTCTCCCTCAATCTTTTTTTTTTTTTTTATCAAATTAAAGTCACCGATGGTGGGTTAAATTAACTGTTTCGTTCGAAATGTTTTTTTTCTTTGCTCTGTTTCGCTTTCCTTCCCTTTTCTTGGCTTTATCTTTTGTTTCTCTTTTTGTTTCGCTGTGTTTACCCTTTTTGGCGCTCGAACGGGTGACACTCACTTTCGTTCCATTTTACGAAGTTCCCCTTCGCTCTTTTCGTATGGAACCTCGCTCGCGGCGTTGGGGCCAAGATGGCGGCCCCAGGAAAGGAGCATATCCATTTGTTCATACATAAATGTATACAATGTATATATATGTACAAACATGCAACATCGTGAGATGGCGAAAAAAAGGAAAAAAAATGGAAAAGGCTGCTACAAACTTGGTAACCCTTTAATTGGTTTTTTTTTCCTTACATTTCATTTTTCCCATTTAGGGCAAACCTCATGGGGGTGCTAAATTGCAGATTTGCATTTATGCCGAGGCATGCTGAGAGAAAATGATGTAGGCCGTTTTTTTTTTTTTTTCCCCTCACATTGTTGCATACACCAAATTTTGTGATGCTGTCATATCTAGGCCGCACTGAGGAACTAAACCACACCGACATGCAACACCAACCGCGGCGTTCTTAAAAAAAGCTTGCTAGCATGGGACGCCGCACGGCCCAAAATAACTTCATTTTTTCCGCGCACGTGAAAACGTCGTAATTGGGTCAACCAGCGTGCATATATGAATAAATATTTTACATATGGTTACCCACCCAAAGTGTAGGAGTAGCGTCATATGCTCGAAGGCGTTAACGAAAATTGCGAATAAACAAAATTTGCAATTTATTAAAAAGAAAAAAAAAATGAAGTCAAATAAACTTTGCTTTTTTGCATCACAAGAATTAAAAAAATACATTTGAAACAATTTCGCCGACGAAGGTATATTCCCTCACCTGCTAATAATCCAGGGGCATAATTTTTTCTTTTTTCCCGAACTTTTAAGAGGTTAAATTAACCGTGACCATTTTTTCTCTTCCCTTTTTTTCTCTTCCCTTTTTTTCCTTTCCCTTTTTTTAAAAAGATATAACCATGGGTTGCATTCAGAACGTTCATCCGAAGAAGTACGGCCAGGGATCCAGGCAATGGTAAATCATCCCCCCATTTGATAAAGTGGGGGGTAAACGAACCGGCTGCAGTGGTGAAGCAATTACAATTGTCGAGGAGCGAGTTTGCTCGGGGGAGGCAAGAGGGGGAAACCTCCACGTTTTGCATTTCGCCTTTGACATCTACGTGCGCATGTGTGATTAAGCCGTATGCATATTTAACGTAGTTGTAAGGACGCCCAGTGCAGGAGGGGCGAAGGGAAACAGAGGCGCATATTATGGTGGCCCTTTTTAAGAAATACTTTTTTGTGCCACTTCAAATACGTATGGTCCATAATAATCATGTGTATCATTTCCTTTTCATCATTATGCGTGAGATGAGGATAAACGAGGGTCGCCCCACAGAATCGTAGATTTCTACGCGGAGTGTATCATTGGGCAATCACCCCTGCATTGCGCTGCTTCTGATGAGTATATTCCCCTTCAAATTCACGCCCCTTTTCCTCCCCTTTCCTTTGCAGCCGCGTGTGCTCGAACAGACATGCCATAATAAGAAAGTACAACATCAACATATGCAGACAGTGCTTCCGAGAAAGGGCCGACATTATTGGATTTAAGAAGGTACGTATATAACATTACCGAGTAAATTGAAGTTTTTCCTTTTTGACAAACTCGACGATGCGCATTTGTGCAGACAAAACAAAATTACAGCGCTTATAAATACCCATAATTTTTATTTTTTCCCCTTCACACCACAGTATAGGTAAAAAAATAGGGCAATACGAATGTTGACTCATTCAGCACAGGATGGGGATGCCCCCCTCGAGAGGAGAGTTCCCACTTAGGTGTGAAACGTTCCGCAAAGAAAATTTTAAGAAAACAAGATACAGAAACGACCCACCGCGTCATGTGATATCCCCGATTGTGAGTTTTCTACATATGAGTACAACGAAGCGTAAGGAGAGAAGGGCCGAAAGTTTCCCCATAAAACGAGTCAGAAGAATGTCGGACGGAAAGTTTTTTTTTTTTTTTTTTTTAAATGAAAAAAGAGCGCGTTAAAATTGGGTACAACTAATGAGCGGAGTGACCGTTGACATCATTGAACGCCGATGCGACACTCAGAGTGTCACTTTTGTTGTACGATGTGTCATGTTGTGAAATCCCTACTCAGCTTTATTTCTTTTCCGCTTAACACATTTTTTATGACAACCTTAATTGCAATAAGTTTTTTAAAAATATGACACAATAGTTTTTCCCCTGAATGGGAAGAAAGTACAGAGCAGTTAAAATGTAGCGAACAAATTAAATACGTATTTCTGTTTCCTCAACTTTGTTTCCATCATACCGGAAAGGAAGTTTCTGTTGCATCCGTGAAAGTAGCCAAAATAGGAGAGGCGGTAAAAGAAAAAAAAAAAAAAAAAGAAATATATATATATAAATGGCGGGTTACCTTACCTTTGTTGTATTCCCTGTATGCACTTCCCATATGTGTTCAACACGCATGAACTGTGTTCGTTTTCCTTTCCTATTCTAAGAGCATCTTACTCGCTTTCCGTGGGTTCAAAAAAAAGGCACTTCTCAAAGCGTGGAGAAACAACTAACAGGGAATTTTCACCCTCATTGAGTTAACCTCGTTATGCAAAACCTTGGCATTTCTTTTTTTTGTGATGTCATTTTGGTTCTACCATTTTTTTTGCCGTTATGAAAGTAGTTACTCTGGTATGTGTGGCACAGGGGGAACCTTTTCGACCCTCAGGTTTGATCGCAAACATCGCAAGTGAGGGTGTAGGCGTATGTACATAGGCATATGATACTCAATGGGGAGCGAAAGAAAACGAAAAAGCGACATGATATATTCCATTATGCGAGAAGTTATTTAAGAGATGTCGCGCGGCGGCCACAGATGACGTGATTGTATTTAATTGGAAGAGAAGAACCAGGGTGCCTCTTCTTCTTCTTTTTTCCCCATCTGTCACCACACTGGTACCACTTCCAACACCCACATGTGTGCTTCCTTCTGCACTCTATAATGCCAAAAGGGGGTGGGAGAAAAAATGATCAGGGGTCCCTATATTCGCAGCCTGGTGAAGGGGAAAGGACACGCAGTTTGCAGAATGTTCAAAGGCATGTTAATCGGCAGGAACAGGAACAGCACGGCTGTCGCGGGGGGGGAACTCCTAATGGAGGGTCACTCACCCGAGGGTAATGACAAAAAGGACGACCACAATGAAGAGAGACGGGATGATCCCGGGGGTAAGGGCCAAAAGGCGAGTCGCGCACATATCCGCAGAACAAACATCAAGGGGGTGAACTTTAAGGAGGGGCTCCAAAATGCAAGCTTCCTCGAATTTAATTTCAAAACGGACATATATTTAAAGCTGAACGAAATGAAAATTTTTACACCCACTCAAATTCAGAGGAACGTAATACCCTTGCTGCTACAGGGAAGGGGAGACTCCACCGAGGGACGTGGTGAAATGGCCACGTGTGGTGAGAACGCAGATGTGTATACAGAAATAATGAGAAGTAGAAGTCGCATTAATGGTTACTTGAGGGAGAGTTTCAACATGAGGGGGGATTTTTACGACGTGGGGAAGTACCAATCAGGTGACCGGGTGAAGCTACATGCGAAGAAGCCCGTTGGAGAGAATCCCCTTGGGGGGCGCCAAAATGTTGGTAGGCATGCCGATCGCAGCAGCTGCCAAACAGCTGTGCCGTTACAGACCGAGGAAGGCAATCGACGTGGGGAAAAGACAAAATGCTTCAACGATGTGTACGTTATTGTGAGTCCAGATAACACAGGTAAGACACTGAGTTATTTCCTTCCAATATTAAACAATTTTTACATGAACAATGAGAAAATTATGAAGAGCCTATCAAAATTTTACCACTTTTTGAATAAATATAATTACAAAAAATTTCGAAACAAACTCTTTAGAAAGAAAGAAAAGTTAAGATGTGCCAACAGGAGAATGGACAATTTCTTTTTTCACATAGCCTATGAAAAGCACAGAGTACGAAACAGATACATATACATCCGCAAGTACAAAAATTACAACGTCAGCACGAGCTACGTAAAAAATAAAAAGAATAATGAACTTAACTGTTTGAGGCATAAAAAAAATGTGTTCTTTCCCTATGCAGTTATTCTAACAAACACGAGAGAAGCTGCGTTTGAACTTTTTTCCTTTTTAAAAAGTTTTGACGTAAATATTGAGCTACTGGCGGGGGGATATTTGTACAAAAGAAAGTCTGTTAAAAAGTTTCACGTGGAGATGCAATCTCCGTTAGGTGATGAGGGGGCTCAGGACATGGAGTACGCGGACGAACTGTACCACTCACATGAGGAGGATCACCTGGTGGGGTACCCAAATGTGCGCAGTGAGTTCATCAAGACCAACGATTTTTTAAAAAGGATTAGTAAAAATGTTAAGCAAAGCGCCAAGGCAATAAATTACAACATCGACATTCTGATTGGTACCCCCGATAAAATTTTCGAAAAAGTAGACAACTGCAAAAATAAGCATTTGTACAATTTTAAGTTTTTAAAGTACGTAGTCGTGGAACAAGCAGAAACTCTGTGCAATGCATTCAACGAGGGGAAGCTTCAGCTTGTGCTTAACCATATAAGGAATTACACCAACATGTACTATTTTAGGGGGAGGAGGTTCTCGGCTGAGGATCTGCACAGGGGAGACAGCCCCAGCGATGTTCTCAAAGGTGATCGCTCTGGTGATCCTCATGACGATGTGCAGGAAGGACCAAAAAAAAGTTTCGACTTGGAAAACGAAGAAGAGCGCGAGAGTACTCGGCGGGGGAGACGCAGGAGCAGTCTAAATCAGCAGAAAAGAACTGTCGTGGAGCAGGAAGAAGGAAATAATGAGGTGAGTCCAGATAGGTGTGAAGAAGGTGAAGTGGAGCAGGAGGCCGACGACGGAAGTTACAGACAGGGTGCCTCAAAATGGTGTGATGGGGAAGGAAAAACCGGTGAGACATGCGTCGGAAGCAGCATCAATGGGGAGAGCCCCCCCGAAGAGCTCACCCCACGCAGCACCAAGAGGAAACTCGCAGAACGCGATCAACGTGACGAACGTGCCGATCGCGCTGAAGTCATCCGACTCCTAAACCGCGAAGGGGCAGAAAACGAAAAGAACACCCTGAGCTCGAACATCCCCATATCTATATTCGTGTCGGCGACGAAAACGTTTTGCATCAGCGAGTTTCTCGCCAACAAAGTGAGGAGCAAACATATCCAGGAGGTGATACATCTGAAGAGCCACGATATCAGCTCCGAAATGAAACACATATTTATTAACAGCAAAAATAAGGAAAAGACTGCTCTCCTGTTGGATCTTCTAAACAATAAGGAGGCTCGAGGTAGCGCCACGATGAAGGGAGTGATGCACAACAGGCAGTTCCTCAGTAGACATGTAATTTTCTGTAACACGAGAAAAAGCGTGCAGAATGTTTCAGACTTGCTGACCGAGCTCAAGTACAAAGTGAGTTGTATTCACAACGAAATGAGTTACAAGGAGAGGAGCCAAAATTATCGACGCTTCAAAAAAAACGAAACCAACATTTTGGTATGCACAAATATACTCAGCAGGGGAATACAATTTGAAAATTGCGACATAATTAACTACGACATTAGCAATAATATAAATGACTATATTTACAAGTCAAGCAAAGTGGCGCACACCAATGGTAATATCTATTGTGGCGGAAGAAGCAACTCGTTAACCTCCTTCTTTAGCAAAAAAAATACATCATTAGTTAATGACATCATTGAAAAAACGGGTGACAAGAAACAGATCGTCTTTCAAAACTTAAACAAAAAAGTAAGCAAAATGTTGAAGCTGCAAAATATGTACTACGATATTGTGAAGAAGAAGAAAAGGTATCAGAAAAAGGGAGGGCGAAAAGCTTTGCACATTTCTCCAAGGAGAAATTGCCTAAGTAAAAAAAATAAAATATTATCCAAGAAGCTATACTTTTATAATAAAATGGATGTAGAGCGTAAACGCTTAATAAAGAAGGGAATTCTCAAGGGCCATGAGAAGATCCCCAGATTTCCCAACAGAAAAGCGGAGATCTACGACAGCAATGAGTATAACTGTATGCAGAGGTTGGAGGACGGCGCGCTGCAGATTTTAGCCAAGAAACGAAAAACGAAAAAGAATAAAAAGGAGGATAGGGCAAAATATGAGGAGGACACCATCGTTTTGGACAACATGCCCACCTATGAGGATGAGGCGAAGACCAAAGAGAAGAGGCACCAAAAGAAAACATACTTCTAGGAAAACTGCCCTTGTAAGAGGAAAATCGGGTTACACCATCGCCGAAGATGCTACACATTGCATGTGGGGGAGATCCCCTTCTTGGCCTTAAAATGCAACAGAAGGGCTTTTCTATATTTTCCTTCAACACCATCTGTGTAGGTAGCTGCAACGGGGAGGTTACCGAACAGGTCAAGCACACTTGGCAGCACGCGACCGTTTCTCTCCAGCGTGGACATCCGTCTCTTCAACATTTGTGTCAATCGCGTTGGGCGTACCGCACGTGAGGAGAAACACAAAGCAGGGATTACTTTTCTCCCTTACTTTACACTCATTTTTGTAGCTCAACCGTGGGAGCTTTTTTTTCTTTTTTTTCTTTCATTTTGTGTAACTTCACATGTGTGCGTGGTAAATGATACGCTGACGACGCGGTTACACAGCACGCCGTTTGAAGATTGAAGAAACAATCGTAAAGAAAAGTAAAATGTTTGTGTCACCTTACATCTGCATATGGTGTGTGCGGCTGCTCGACGGGAGAGTGGTAAGGAAGCTTTCCATCCCAGAAAATACTATGTCAGCTTTTTCCTCTTTTTTTTTTTCCTTTCCTGCCCCCAACACTTTGTTTTGAAAGGTGAAAAAAATTGCGTCCCATACGGCGCGCCGAAGTGGGACAATTCCCCAAGCAGATGTAACGTTCGGGAATGAAGAAACCTGTTCGTATATTTTTTTCCCCTTATAAATCGTCTAAGTAGTGCGAAGCAATCGCTTTCGTCCGTGATGTACAGTTGCGCAGGTGCATGCTTTGGAAAGCAGTCAAAAGGGGACATGCACAACAGGGGGGGACCAGGACGATCACTGCATAGGATCACTTTGCGCAGTGGAAACTGGTCACTCGACGATAGCGATACTTACTGCAATTATTACGGCGATTATGAGATTTGCGCCTTCCCCAAGGGGAAGTAACAAAAAGGTGATTATTTCGAGGTGATAAATCGATAAACAGAATGGCGCAATTTTCTAAATGCCCTCTATGCCCTTGATATTTATCATGATTACTTTGTCATACGCCATTTCAACTTGGTGAATTTCGCACAAATCGCATTTTTTGTCGCTTTAGTTTTGCGTAACTGTTCTCAAAATGGCAAAATTACACATAAAGTAAGTTCAAAAGGGAGTTCGCAGTTTTCGTTGGAGGTTTTTTTTTTTTTTTTCATTTTTAGAAAATTTTGTATACCGAATAGACGAAAAAAAAAAAAAAAAAAGAGAATTTTCTAAATGCATGGATAAAGAATAATCACTCGGGAAAAATTACAGCAAAAGAGAAAGCATATAAAAAAGGTAAGCAGTGCGGAGATGTTCATATATGCATTACATATACGTAGGTATACCAACATGTACAAGTTTTTTTTGCGTAATTTTTTAATTTCTTTTTAAGATACTGCAAAAACTTCCGTGTGGTTCCCCTGTTAATCCGCCTTTTATGAAACTTACCCACTCGCCTCTTCGTTTTTTGAATGAATGAGCGAGCACGTTAGCGGATGCCTACCATCGTATGCATACCCCCCGTACATATACATACGCACGTACTACGTACCATGCACCATGTACGGCACACGTCGTATATATGTTGTGAAAGTTTATGCAATTCCCCCCCTTGTTTCTGTTTTATGTGGGGCGCTGTGGAGCGTGTAAGCGGCCCCGAACGTTCGCAACTGTGGACGTGTTCATTTGCGTGCAGTTCACCCCCCCTCCTCCATTCCCACGCCCAGCACGGGAATTTCGCTTTTGCATCATCCTGCGCGCAGCCTGCATCCAGGTGAGCGAGGTGATCGAGTTGAGAGGCACGAATTGGTTTTTCGCGCGAACGTGTATTAATGACTACACCGTGTATGATCGCTTCGCGCATACAGTAGGGCAGTTTACTCTAATGAGTGCGTAATGCACGTATCTTGCCCCCAATACCACAACCAGTAGCAGCAACACCCTTCCGAGTGTGCGAACAAATGGGTGTAAACCCCTTCCGCACGCCCAAACGTGCAGATAACTACGCAGTGTGTGTTTATGCCCCCTTTAAGAGGTGTGAACTCATCCCGCAAATAAATTTTGTTTCATGTTTTTATATGCCTCTTAAATCGTTACACATAATTTAGTTGAAAAGTTGAAGCTCCATTTACTGACCGCAGTTGAAGGACAAGTGAAATTTCTCCCTTTAAAATGACAAAAAAAAGAAAAAAAAAAAAACTGAAACGAGAGATGATGAAAGAGCTCATTTAAAAAGATAACAAATGTGTCTTATACATTTTTGAAGCGCATAGCAAACTCCTGCGCGATTAATTACTTCTTCTCTTTCCAGGAGTGAGCACTCTCTCCCTGTGTAGTGGTGAGTGTTTGCATTTGAGTTGGGCCTTGTTTTATCGCGCCCCTCCACACGTGGCTACAAGTGTTTATGCACAAGTGAACATTAATATGTGAAGATTGACGCGCTCTTCGGCGGAACACCTCCCTATGGGAACCCACGATTGTAGATACTGTTCGTCCATTTATCTAATGCGAGAGAATCTGTTAATTTATCATTGCGTCGTGTTGAGGGCGTACACGTACACCAGTTTCTGAGGGCCCTTTTTTTTGTTTTCCTTTTTTTTTTTTTTTATGTATTCACCTGTGCATTGTGCATGTGGAAGGCATGTCAATCGGTTGCGTAGTAACAAAACTGGACAAGTGTACACATCAGAAGGATGAATTTTGTGCACCAGACATATTTGTTCTTGCCCGATCTGTTTTTGTTTTCGCCCCTCGAATTAATTTAACTTTGCCCCGTTGATTTCCCTGCACGTCCTGAGCGACCATTTGCACCTCACCCAATCAGCTGTAATACACCACGTGCACGACGTAAGAATTTCTTTTCCCCCTCATATCACACGAACATATATTTATATATCCACACCAAGCAACGCTCATGAATGCATACAACACTGAAGGGAGGTATTTGTTAATAATATACGAAAAGGTATTTAAAATAATCTACATAAAGAATTTAAAAGACAACAAAAATGAGAAAGTCAAAGTGCCATCCCTGTTTATTTTCCGCGATAGTGGAAAGTGCACTGAGAAGTTAATAAATAAAGATAAAATCAGGAAGAAGAGCAAAAAATTTGGAAGCATCATAAGTGAACTAATCATAGATAACATAATTGGCACCATCGAAATTAGAGACGAGTTATTTCTGTTCGTAGTGGACAAATGGAAACTACTGTGTAAATTTTTTTACTTAAATAGATATAGGAGCATATATAAGATAGAGAAGGTGCATTACATCCCTTACAATATTAACATAGTTTCCATGAATACCGTTATTAGCAATGCACTGAACATCGATGACAACTCCAATAGTTATTTTATTAATCACTTGGTCAACCATGCAGATATAGCCAAAGATTTTGAGGTCATAAATAACAGCAGTCAAAGTCACGGCACGTCGGTGGCGAAGCGCGTTGCGAGTGCTAGTGACCAGCGGAGTAGAAGCGTAATTCGCGGCGGCAATGACAGCGGCAATGGAAACGGTAATCATGACAAGCCGGGCAGGGCCCCGCAGAACGCCAACTCGAATGATCCCTCCTACGAGCCTAATAGCTCAGACAACGGAATTGAGAAGGACTACAAAATGGACGAGGAGAATATGTACAACAGACATTTTGCAAATAAAAGTAGCAAGTTAAATGGAGACAGAGCTAGGAGAAGAGGGAACAAATTTGGAGCTGAATTCGAAATGGAGGTCGAACCCATGAATCATAGAACCCACAGAAGTGGCAACTACAACAAGAAAGAGGAGAAAAATAAAAAAATCCTCAATTTTAATACTGCGAAAAGGTGGCTGACCAATCAGTTCAACCATAAAAATCTTTTGAACATCATTTCGGACATAACGAATTATGACAGCCGAGGGTTCGGCGAGGGTGATGTGAGATCTTCCTCTCGGGCGCAGCCCGGTGAGCGCGTTGCAAGGGACGTTACTGGCGGCGTTGTTAGTAGCAGCCACCCCCACAGGGGAACGCAGCGGAACGAGGAAGAAATGATTAACACCAATTCGTCAACGCTGGACGAAAACGAATTTATGATGCAAGTGCTGAACGATAAGGAAAAGTGCACTCAGCAGGGGAATGGAGGCGTATCGAATAAGATAACTAATAGTGAGCATAACTGCAAAGGTCAAGGCGCGAGGGAAAAGGAAAATGGCAGTAGTACCTACGATGCCAATAGTAATGACGGCAACGTACGTTACGGTAGGAGTGATCAGCAAAGTATGAGGACAGAACCACACGCGTCTTATACGAATAAGGAAGATGCTCACAAAAATGATCCTATTGGCTCTTCAAAGATAAATGTTAACTTGATTGACGATTTGTTTACAGATAGGAAGAAGGACAGTGAGGGGTATCCAGTTGGTGGAGACCAAATAGATAGGCAAGCCAACCAATTAAAGCACCTACTGCGTGATGGTACGAAGGAGTCCTATCAAATCAGACGAAAGAATGACCATAATATTTTTCCAACCTGTGGGGAAAATGAGAAGAGGTCTAGTTTGTTCCCATCCGGAGGAAGCCTTCCCAGAGACAAAGGTGACACGGGGGGCACCGAAGCAGCAGTTGGAGAGGTGCCAGCGAACGGGAATAACGGCAATTACTACGAAAATTTGATGTGCATTTATAATGCTGAAAAGAAGGGAGTAGTGAGCTCAAGGAAAGAAGACACTAGTGGTAAAGTTGAGGAGGATAAGGGAGTACCAACCGAGGGAGGGAACAACTCAGTAGGGGATTCTCAAAAAAATGCAGAAGCAGAAAATAAGGGAGACCTCAAGGACCTCATTAACAACTCCTACTTCAACCTAAGGAACAACCTTGTTGTGGTGGAAAATAGCGAACATAGTGAAAAGAGGAATTCCTATCCCCTCAGCTTCAAAAACGCAAATGACGAAAGCTTAAAAACGGATGAAAAGAAGATGAATATAAAACTGGACATGCACAAAATGTTAAAAATGATACAGAAGATTCTTACAGTCCACATGTACTACTCATATGACTTTGACTTAACGCAGTGCATTCAAAAGAAGATGAAAAAGAATATTCAAGAGGTAGATGTAGAACCCATGTTTTCTTCATCGTCCACTCATAGGAAAAGGTCCTTCCTAAATGTGAGCGAAAAGAATTTCATGTGGAATTATCAAATGATTAAAAAGATCAAGTGTAAATGCAAAATTGATGATAATTGGTTCTGCTCAGTAATTCAGGGCTACATTTCTTACACCTCTATTGAGATGAATAGGAAGTGTTTAGAGCTGCTCCTCATTAGTCGTCGCTCGTCCGTCTTGGGAGGGACGCGATTTAATAAGAGGGGCATCAATGATGATGGGTATGTGGCTAACTATGTAGAGACGGAGCAAATTGTAAGAATTAATAATAGGAACCTTACCTATTTGAATCGGTTTGACAAGGTTAACATGGCTGTCGATAATGTGAAGAAGCCGAAAGGGAGTGAGAGAGGAGGCTCATCTGTTGGTACCAATTTTGGAACCCCTGACAGGAGCGAAGTGAATAATTTGAGAGAGGAAGAAAATAGCACCGTGAGAGTAGCTCCTCCAAAGGTGCTGCCACTTACAGCCAGTGCGCCAAATAATGGTCGAAAGAATATACATGAGGGGGAGTCGAATGCGTTGGGAAAAATCTCCTATCCACTGGAAGAAAAAAAGGCGCGAGGTGGGGAAGGCACTGCTGAGGCGAGTGTTAATAATGAGAAGTTGATCGGCGGGGAAAGCGGCCCAGCCAGCCAGGGATGTATCAACAGTGACAGCAACTTCGAGAACAGAATAATCTCCCTAGTCCAAATAAGAGGGTCGATCCCGCTCTTCTGGAAGCAACATTCCATGTCATCCCACGTAAACATACAGCGGTCTTCACTGCTAAGCATCAAGGCCTTCAAGGAGCACAACAAAAAGTTGATAACAAATTATGGCAACAATATTTACTACATAAATCTTCTCAGCCAAAGCAAAAACAACGAAAAGAAGCTGACCAAAAAAATGATTGAGCTGATTAACTATATTAAGAAGGACAAGCATTACAAGGAGAAAAATTTTATTAACTACATTGAGTATGACTTTCACATTTCCGTAAAGAACAAAAGCTTCGAAGATGCCATGAACGATTTTATTAACAAAGTTCTACTCAAGGAGATAAAGAATGTGTCCTTTTTTATGGAACCGTCCAACAGTGTGATCGAGGGGGGCACTAATACAAACAGGAGTAGTAGCAACAATGTCATCGAAAACCACCCATGCGTTTTTCAAAACGGAGTGTTTAGAACCAACTGTCTGGATTGCCTAGACAGAACTAACGTCTTCCAGTACTACTACACGCTGTTCTTCATCCTGTATGTGTTGCATGTGTCAAAAAATGACATCTATTTAAAGCCAGTGAAAAAATCGCACCTGTGTTTTTACAAGAATTTTAATACACTCTATAATAGCAAGAGCGTGACCATAGTGACTACTCTCCCGACGGACAGCTACCTGCTGGAGCTTTCTGAGAAGTCCAGCATTAAGAAGAATTACGACTACAGCAAGGGGAGCAGCAACAGTAGTGGCAGCTTGTTTGACGATTATTGCTATGTCAACGAAGGAGGAGCCCCCCACAATGAGGAGGGCGTGAACAGTACGAGCAGCGTGAATAATACGAGCGGCGTGAATAATACGACTGGCGTGAATAATACGAGTGGCGTGAATAATACGAGTGGCGTGAATAATACGAGTGGCGTGAACAATACGAGCGGTCTGAACAATACGAGCAGCGTTAACAATGAGAGCAGCATCAACGATACGAGTAGCGTTAAAAATGGCGGAAGCAGCCTGAACAGAGGCGGCGGCAGGAGGGAATACCTCAAGACCGAAATCATGAGCAGAATGGAAAAGGAGGAGAAGAAGCATAGAATGGCTTACAGCAATTACGAGAAGGAAGATGAGAAGAAGTTTAGCAGTCGACAGGAACAACCCGATGAATACGTACACATTTTGAAACATTTCTTTAAAAAAATGTGGGTAGAAAATGGAGATATTATTAGTACTCATTACACAGGAACGGGCAGCGTCTTCTCTTCGCAAATAAATGTAGGAAGATCTTCCCTAAGCACAAACATTGACCATGCAATTAAATCCATCGAGAGGTTCTATCAAAATAACTTTGAGGATAATTTCAGACAGGAGTGCATCGATATTATTTTATGCACAGGTAAGTATAGCAAGAGCAAGAGAAGAAATTTTATAGGGGCCGATTTTAACTATTTTTTGAATTACGGTAATTTTATGAATAAGGAGGGCTTCCTCGGTTTAAGGGGAAAGAATATGGGCCTCTCGATTCCGTACCTACCCTATGGAAGGAATGCACAGATGAGCAAAGCGCATCCGAGTGAGGGACAGATCCAAACCGAGCGGGGTACCTCCAACGAGAATTACCCCAGGGGAAGAAGAAAACATAAGGCATCCGAGTGCAACACCAGTAGCAGCGATTCCAGTGAGAATTCGATTGAAAATAGTAGTAGCCTGCTCGAAGAGGAGCAAGACGAGGATGAAGGGCGCCTATCAAGGGGGAGAAGCAAGCAGGGCAGAATTAGTCGGCCCAGCAAAAATGCAGAAAGGAAGAAGCTCGAAGGAAGGAGAGCTAAGGAAAGACATTCAGAGGGAGAGGATCCTCTCAGCAGAGGCCTAAATTTTGAGGATGACAAAGGGAAGGACGCTGGAGAGGAGTCGGAACAGCAGGAGGAACACGCATACCAATCACCTCACGGGAAGGAGTCACGTAAAATGCACAAATCGGTAAAGCGGGCCAAGATGAGGAAGACGAAGAAGGTGCACCTGGCGCAGAGCGAAAGCAAGGAGGGTATCCATCCAAGGAGGGAAAAGTCCTACTGTAAATCTACCTCCATGAGTGATGTCTACTCAGGAACAAATTTGAACAATGACAGCAGCGCAGAGAACACGGTAAACAGCCTTAGTAGTAGTTGCAGCAGTGGTAGCACTGGAGAGGGAGAAAGCAGAAGAGGAAGCAGATGCGGCAGTAGCAATTCGGACAATAATGTCCAGAAAAAGAAGAAGAAGAAAAAAAAAAAACGAAAAAATGTAAACAAAAAGGGCAAGGAAAAAAAAAACAAAAGCGATCTAGTGTACATGAAAAATCTGTATAAGAAAAAAAACTATATATACAATGTGAGGAATAGGAACAAGTACAGCGATTATCTAAGTCACGATCTTATAAATCATTACTACGTGGATTTTGATGACTCCAAAATGGGAAGTTCCCAAAGAAAAAAAAAAATGACCAATAATGATTATGAGGAAAAAATTGTAAAACTCTGGGCAGGCACATGGAATCTATGTGGAAATGACTTGTACGAACTGAATGACATGTCTTCCTGGTTGAATCAGATCAACGAGTGCATTGACATGTATGTGTTTTGCTTCCAAGAGGTGGTCGAGTTGACGGGATTTAGAATTTTGATGAACATGAAAGACAAGTTTAAGGAGAAAAAGATCGAGCAGAAAATTACCCAGTCCCTGGCAGAGATGTCGCAGAGGCAAAAAGAGATGTACATTAGGAGTAAAATCGGCACGAACGCGTACTTTGCAAATGGCACGATTAATGGTGAGAACGAGGGACATAAGGGCGTCATCAACCCCTCCGTCTGCACGCCACACCATACGCATGATAACGACGCCAGAGTGAACAACGAGGGAATGAATAAGGATGACTACTACGAAAATTATTTGAAGTCTTTTAACGAGTCGTACATGTGCGAGGGCGCGTCCTCCGTGGGGAACACCTTCAATGCTGTCAACATTGCCAATGGTTCCAACGCTGCTAATGCCCCCAACGTGGAGAGTGCGACTCAGAAGGGGGACAGGCGAAGCTTCGATCAGAATGGCGTCCTTGACATTTCGAAGAGTTGCTTCCTGAACAATTACTTTAATAATTTGGAGGAGGAGCAGGAGCAGGCTCAACCCCTTTTTTCCCTTGCGTCGGGTTCGCCTAGCGCCCAGGATGAACAGAGCAAGTTGCTCAATCTGAGCACTCTCAACATGAACATGATGGCCTCTGAGGACCCCCTCAGTAAGAGCCTCCACTCAAGAAAAAGCACAGATTTCATCATTTTACCTGAAGAATCAAGGAAAAATGAGCTAATGAGAAATACACGACAAAAGAGCAGCCCCACCCCTACGAATGTTCAGGAAAGAAATCAAAGTGGCAATGCGCTAAACGTTTTGGAGGGTCGGGATAACAAAGGCGGAAAGCTTTTAGGGGAGAACATGATAAAAAGCAATGACACAAATATCAGCTCCAATATAAATGAGCTCTTTGACATTAACCATATGAATAGTTCCAATAGGAACACAAACAATGGTGTATGTAACAACAGAGACGTCTTCAACTTGGTCGATCATACATACGGTATAAATCATCCCCCGAGGGGAAGTAACCCCAGTGGGAAAGCAGCCCGGTCCAAATCGAACGATGTGGATGTGCATAATAAAGGACACAGTGAAGAGGATAAACAGTATCGAGTGGAAAGAAACAAACAGTGTCATATCAAGCCGAGGGAGGAGAAAATTAAGGACGATGAAATGTGTGGCCACTCTCAAAATCGGAAGAGAGAGGATACAAATAGTTTTCACATTTCGAGCATTCAAGATGTTTTTCAAGAGAGCAAAAGAAGTAGCTCGGTTAATTTGATACAAGTGGCACGAGACGACATGGATGGTTGTCCTAGAGGAAAGAAGGGTTCCAGGACGCATAGCGACGTGGAAGGAAGGAACAGGCAGAGGAATGGGGCCTCGGATGAGTATCCTGGCAGTGATTGTATGCGTGGCGAAGAACAAATACCTTTCAAAACTAACGACGCTTTTTTGAAGAACGAATCAAATAAGTACTTTTTAAATTTGAAAAAATTTAAATATGTGAAGCTGAAGTCTGTATCCATGATAGGACTCTTCATCATCATTTTTATTGATGAGGGGTTAGTGGACTACATAAGAGAAATTGAGGTTTGCAAAGTGAAGGTTGGCTTGAAGGGCAACACGGGTAACAAGGGAAGTGTGTCGATAAAATTTCGCCTGGGGTTTAACTCCTTCTGTTTTAACAACATCCACTTGGCATCAGGCCAAACGAACATCTTCGAAAGGAATAATCAAATGCAAAGCATTCTGAGCAACAGCTTCCAGAACCAAGAACTGAATAACCTCTTTAACTTTGACTACTTCTTCGCATGTGGAGACTTCAATTTTAGGATCAACAAAAGTCATGAAGAGGTTTTCAAATCCATTGCGAATAAGGATGCCAACCAGTTGCTGAATTATGACCAGTTCATTTACAACAAGCTCTACAACATTCTTCCCTTTTGCCTCTTCTACGAACACCCCATCATGTTCAACCCCACGTACAAGTACAAGAAGAACTCCAACATGTACGACGTGCGCCGGACCCCCGCCTGGTAGGTCGCGAGAGGTAGCGGTGGTAGCAGCCGTGGAGGCAATGGCACTGCCCCCATGTGTAGGCCCAAGTTCATGTGTCATTGTTTATTTTTTGCATATATTGGTGTGTACGCCGCTTCACATGCCGCGCTGTATAGCGGTGTACGTACCACTGCACGTGACACGCCCCTCATCTGTTCACGTTTCTCTCTCCCCCCCAAGGTGCGATCGGATACTGGTGAGCGGGAAGCTAATACACCTGTCGGAGCTGGAGAAGAAGCGGAAGGAACACATGACACAGGCGTTGCAACAGGAGAAGGACGACGTGAACAACAGCAAGAGCGACCATCTCAAGGACACCCAAGGGGAAAAACAACTCGCTAGCAACAATCCGGAGGGTGATCACCCGAATGATTTTTACTATAACGATAAAATATATTTTAAATACTTAAATTACAAGACACACAACAATTTCTTCTCAAGTGACCACAAACCGGTGAGTGCAATTATAGAGTTAAAAGTTTTTTTCGACAAAAAGGACATCGAATATAAACTTCGTAACTCGTACAGTATTAAAACAAATGAAGACTTCAACAGTTTTGTAAAAAATTCGAGCAACACGAGCAACAGCAGTAACAATAAGAACAGCAATTTGCTGGACTATTTTTTTCCCAATAATTATGGCCTAAGCAAATACACGGCCTACCCCATCTCGCAAATTTTGAATTACTCAAATAATTTAAATAGCAAGTTTAAAAATGAAATGCATGACGATTCGTTTCATGAGGATGCGCTGAAGAATGTGGATCGACTGGACGATTTTAGCTGCGCCAAGTGATGACACGGCGTAACTTTTCTTTTCTACATTTTGAATGAGAGGAGGAAGTAAAAAATGAGGAGATTAGCGGTTTGAGTATCGCTCTTTGAGCATTGCTATTTGCGTGTTCCAACATGCCCTCTGCAACGCGAAAATGTTTACCTGCCTGCAGCATACACGTGTGTTTGTCCATACATTTACGTGTTAACAATGAGGAGATGCCAACCCAAGCAGGGGAGATAAATAACACTGATTTGCAAATGTGTAATGAAGGTGGGAATACACATGTGGACG